TTACGAATCAAATAAAACACCGCATCCGTACGACCGATGAAATTCCTATATACACAAAGAGCTATCGATATCCTTTTGTTCATCGACAAGAGGTACGTGATCAAATAAATAAAATGTTAACTCAAGGCATTATACGTCCCTCCGAGTCCGCGTGGTCCTCACCGATTTGGATTGTCCCAAAAAAGGCAGACGCCTCGGGGAAAAAGAAATGGCGTCTTGTGGTAGATTTCCGTAAACTTAATGAAAAAACTATTAATGACAAATATCCTATCCCGAATATCTCAGACGTTCTGGACAAACTGGGTAAATGCCAATATTTTACTACCCTAGATCTCGCCAGTGGTTTTCACCAAGTAGAAATGGACCCCGCTGACATTCCAAAGACGGCATTCAATGTCGAACACGGCCACTACGAATTCCTTCAGATGCCCATGGGCCTGAAGAACTCGCCCTCCACGTTCCAAAGAGTGATGGATAACATCCTCCAAGGTCTCCAGAACCAGATCTGTTTGGTGTACCTAGACGATATCATAGTATTCAGCACTTCGCTGCAAGAACATATGGTCAACTTAGAACAAGTCTTCCAGAGACTTAGGAACTCCAATTTCAAAGTGCTAATGGACAAATCAGAGTTCCTTAAGTTAGAAACGGCTTATTTAGGCCATATTATTAGCAGCGAGGGCGTGAAGCCTAACCCAGACAAAATAGCAGCGATAGAAAAATACCCTATGCCTAAATCCCCTAAAGAAATAAAGCAGTTCTTAGGACTATTAGGATACTACCGGAAATTCATCCCTGATTTTGCAAAAATAACAAAACCCCTAACACAATGCCTAAAAAAGGGTAAAAAGATCACTTTTGACCCCGATTATGTTAACAGTTTTGAGAAGTGTAAAACCCTCTTGACGAACGATCCAATCCTTAAATACCCGGACTTTAGTAAGGAATTTATCCTTACTACCGACGCGTCGAACTATGCCATCGGTGCTGTTTTGTCTCAAGGGCCGACAGGCTCGGATAAACCCATCTCATATGCTTCGCGGACACTCAATGATGAACAAAATTACAGTACCATTGAGAAAGAGCTCCTGGCAATAGTATGGGCCATTAAATATTTTAGGTCCTACCTATTCGGCAGGACATTTAAAATACTTACCGACCACAAACCTCTACAGTGGATTATGAGTTTAAAAGAACCGAACACTCGCCTTACTCGATGGCGCTTAAAGCTCAGCGAATACGACTTCACTGTAATTTACAAGAAAGGGAAATCAAATACGAACGCAGATGCCCTCAGTCGCATTGAGATTCATAACGAAGAGACTAATTCTCTTCTAGCGAATCCCTCGGAACAACCAGAGCGCAGTTACGGTTCTACAACCGCTACTATTCATACGAGTCACGAAAATCCCATATTGGAAGTTCCGATAACCGATGAACCACTAAACAAATTTCATCGCCAATTTGTTATCACTATCGTAGGCGACGTAAAAAGACGACCCGCGGTTTCGAAGCCCTTCGACACACACACTCGCATTTCGGTGCAAGTAACGGAATCAAATTTAGAAACCGATATTATAAACGTAATAAAGGAGTTTGTGAACCCAAAAATTAAAACCGGACTTCTAATCAACCCACCGTTAGGGCTCTACTCAATTATACCTGTCATGCAGAATAACTTTAAAAGCTCCGCAATGAATCTCGTGCTTGCCAAAAGTGAACTTGAAAACGTTAAACCTTATCTTAGGCAACAAGAAATTATAAAACATTATCACGAGGGTAAAACGAACCATAGAGGCATTAATGAGTGTTATTTGTCTCTTTCGAAAAAATACTACTGGCCAAAAATGAAAGAACAAATAACAAAATTCATTAACGAATGTATTGTGTGTGGCCAAGGTAAATACGACCGTAATCCTATCCAACAAAGATTCAACGTTGTTCCGCCTCCGAGCAAGCCACTAGAAATAGTTCATATGGACTTGTTCACGGTAGATAGTGAAAAATACATTACGTTCGTCGACGTATTCTCCAAGTACGGACAAGCCTATCACCTACACGACGGTACAGCCATCAGCGTTTTACGGGCCTTACTAAAATATTGCACGCACCACGGTTTACCTTTAACGATAGTAACTGATAACGGCACTGAATTCACTAACCAACTATTTTCCGAATTTTTAAAAATGCACAATATTAACCATCATAAAATACTTCCCCATTCACCAAACGACAATGGAAATGTAGAACGTTTCCATTCAACCCTTCTCGAACATCTTAGATTACTAAAGCTTCAGCGTAAAGATGAGCCAGCTGTAAACCTAGTACCATACGCGATTATCGCTTACAATAGTTCGGTGAACAGTTTCACGAAATGCAGGCCCTTCGATATAATAACAGGTCACTTTGACCCCAGAGACCCAGTAGGTGTAGACCTTACCCAGTATCTACTCCAACAGTACACTCAAAATCATAGAGAACAAATGAAGTTAGTTTACGAAATTATAAATCAGTCCACCTTACATGATCGCACAGTTTTAATTGAGAATAGAAATAAGGATAGAGAACCCGAAATTCAGTATGAACCACAACAGCAGATTTTCATAAAAAACCCGCTTGCTAGTCGACAGAAATTAGCACCCAGATACACTAACGATATTGTTCTGGCTAACCTACCTATACATATTTATACTTCACGGAAACGTGGTCCCGTTGCCAAAGCTCGCATTAAGCGAGTCCCTAATAGCGCTAAATTGTTACAGAATCCCGCTGGTGATGATGGCGCATCTCGCTCAAACACAGAAGATAATACTTGAAAGTCTTAGCGATGGTCCTGGCCTCCTCCCTTATAAATTAGGTCGAACTCGTCTAGTGTCACATTATCATAGCTTTTTACAGTATATTCGCATCAACAATATAGAAGAGAAAACTATTGCAGTGAGACAGCAGTTTTAATTAAGCACTTTGAATTAAGATTAAATAATGATACGTTTTCCCTATATTCTCTTCAAATCAATTATTTATCTCATAAAATTAATAGAGTTTTAAATCATTTAAAAGGACTCGAACCTAGTCGAGCGAAGAGAGGTCTGATTAATGGCTTAGGATCTGCTATTAAAAGTTTAACCGGAAATTTAGATTATCAGGATGCTATCAAATTTGATAACGCAATAAAAAATCTCGAAAATAACCAAGTTAAAATTATATCGGAGCTTAACTCGCACATAAGCCTCAGCAAGGAATGGATGACGCAACATAATGGCATCATAGATCAGTTAGTTAGTAATCAGCAATCAATTAATGCTACGTTAGAACTTTTGTTGAATAGCACTGCTTATAAAGAAAATAGTTTAATAAAATATGCTCATTTCGCTCAGCTCTTGACCATCATAACGGAAAACGTCGATGATTTGTTGGGAGAATTAGTTAGAATAGAAAACATGCTAGCTCTTGTGCGCGCCTTAAGCACACATCATTCAATGATAGATATCGATACTTTAAGGGTAATGATAGAAAGAGTAAGAATGATATATGGGGACGATAGAATATTAAATTTAGACTTACGCGACTATTATAGTATTATAAAACCAGGTTCATATTACGTCGAAAAACAGATAGTTATAGTTTTTAAAGTTCCCATAGTTAGTGCGAACATATTCGATCTGTATAAACTTTCAATAGCCCCGAATAGGTATAACGAGATCCTTATTCCACCCCTTCCTTTCCTAGCAACCAACAGGGAAGCGTATGCGTATATGGAGGTTGAATGCCCGAAGGTAGACCACCAGTACCTCTGTGAAGACGATACCATAAATAGAGTCAAGAATCATCATGACTGCACACGAGAACTCGTCACAAACCACGCCCTAGGAGATGACTGCAACTTGACCACTTTAACACTGGAAAAGGAAGCCATGGAGCATCTGGACGCTGGAAACTATGTTGTCACGTTCCCTCGCACCACAAAAATCCATCTACGATGCGGAAGAGAAGAATACAAGCAGCTTCGCGGAAGCTATTTGGTAACAATACCCTTAAATTGCGCAATGATGACGTCAGAATTTACAATAGTCAACGAGGATAACCAAGTATCCGGACAGCCACTAATAATTACCGATGTCCCACGCAACTTCAAAGAGGAAACCACATCTCAACACCGAATCTCGCTGCAATCCATCGACCTGAGAAAACTACATGAAGTCTACAATCAAGCCATGAGAGAGCCGATAATGGTACAAGACACCATAGCTAGCAACACTCTATACCACACTACTATTCCCATGTATGTACTGATAATTGGCTCGCTTATTATAACAGCAACTGTAATAACCTGTCGACGTTACAATCTGTGGAGATGCAGTAAGCTGCAACAGCAAAGCACCCAGCCGCCAGCACCTGGAAAGCATTCCTATGAAGATCCCAAAAACGCAAAAGCATACCCAGCAACATTTTCCCTCAAAGTGGGAAAATAGTCGCTGATCTGTGGGGGGAGGAATTACGTAGTTTCACTACACTAAAATCGCCTAGCATGTAACCTACTTAAAGGTGCACACGACGGAGCTGCGTGTCACGAGGCGCCGAGTCAGCAGGCGCCGACAATCCGACGCCCGTTGCAAGTTAGCATCGGATTTCGCCATTCTTAGGTCACACTTCGACCAAGTTAATCATTTTAGTTTTAGTTATAAAAGTATTGTAATCTTTCTTTAATAAATTTATATTTTAAGAATTGTTTTTTTAAGTCCTGCGGCTGCAGCTAATGTAATTCACTATACTAGAATATTTAAAAACAAACTGTTCCCAAATGATATTAGGGTTACTGGTTCAGTCACTTCATTAGTATTGTCAATTCGTCATGTGTCAAATCGGTAATAACTCAGCGGCCGGAGTATATAAGTAATAACCTTTATAAAATCACAAAAAAAGGAATCCAACACAGGATAACCAACATTATACCTACTTTACAATATATTTATTTTATAAACATGTGTTTCTCTCATTAGGGCCCATTAGCACAACACCTGAAATGCCGACTGCGGCCGACATGCAACTCGCTGCAGCTATTGGCTCTAAAGGTGAGAAATATTATATATTGATAAGCATAAACCTCTAAGCGTGCGCGTGTGTGTGCGTGCGTGAGCAAGACCTTTTATGATAAACATTCCGCCGCGCCGAACGCTCTTCAGTGCAACCTAACCCTGCCTAAGTTTATGTGGTTTGAACTTACAGTCCACATAACAGTTACTGGTACTACAGCTCATGGTCACCAACTGACCTACTTCGGTTTAAAGAACTTTATTTTTAATTAAGACAATTGTCACTTACATGATAACAATAATATCGGTATTAAAATTATGATACTGTATAATTCAAGTGCGTTCGGGTAGTAAAAAATACGTCGGTCGATCGTCAACCAGGAAGTGAGTTCATTGTGTTAATTTCAAACTTTAAGACGGTGACCAAAGTTAATTTTAATGTATAGTTCCATCAATATAAATGTACTCAAATAATATTCTTCAAAAAAATATTAATCGAAGTCGCTTCTTTCACATGTTTTGCAAGTTGATTGTATTACTGTGCTAGCCAAATGCTATGTTATTTTACCAGAGTTTGTTCTTATGGCAGGTAACACAAAATTACTGGCTCGGCGGGTTATACAGAATGGTCCAAATAGTCCAAAATAAAAAATTTTATTCTTCACGCCCAGGGGATATGCCACGAATTATATCCGAATTTTTGTAGTTTTCGAGTTACAATTTTTTTTGTATTTTTTAGGGTTTTCTGCCGATGGGGCTTCAAAAATTCATATCTTTTTTGTAGTAGTTATCTTTCACTTTTTTAAAATAATTGTCTTGATTGATGCTTTTACATGTAAAATAATAAGCTTGCTAACATTCCAGCAAGTTACTCAAAAAAAGTATCGAGACTAAGAATTTTAGTGTTAGTGTGGTAGACTAAAGTTTTCAACTTTAGTTTTTAAATACAAAAGGGACTTTATAAACTTTGCAGGTCCCTCAACTATCTGTTTTTTCACTTACATTTCTCTATTTTCGTCTAGTACTAAAGCGTCTGTGTCTTTTGATGTCAAAGGCGGTACTGGTCGTTGTGCCGAGTGTTTAGTAACCTTTTATTACCTTAAAAAAAGAAACGCAATGCCTATTAATAGATTGATTTTTAAGTTGTTTTTATTTCATACGTTATTGATTTTATTTTACTTCATATTGTTAGTAACTAACTAGCCCACTACACCTTTCACAAATTTCATTTATAAATTATTTACATTAGTGCAGGTGCATGTGAATCTACTAGCCCATATCGTCTCCAGGAAGTCGTAAGTTAGATTCCCAAAAAATACTAAATAATAAAAACTGCGGCTGATAACCCGCCTGCAAATTGTGCTAGCTACGATAAACATCCCTTTTTAGGGGAGGACTTTATTCGTCAGTGGATTTTGATAGTATATGATGAATGAAATATTTTTTTATTATTCTCATAATTAAAAAAAATTAGTTTTATTGGAACAACACATGAGTTAACAGTCCATTTTATTTCAATTAGCTTTGCCATCCCATTGACACCTGCAATTACTCAGCCTTTAAGCAAAAAAGACCACACATGCTTTGTTACCCTCGAAGGCTAAGATAAAATGTCTTGCAGTCTGAAACCGTGTTTGTTTTTTAACCCAGAACATCACACCAGAACAGAGCAATGAGTTTTGTATAATTTAATAAAATTTTATTTTTTTATTATAAAATTGAAGTGACAAATGGTTTTACAATCCATCTGATGGTAAATGGCTATTGCTGCCAATAGACACATGCAACGAACTTAAAGGAAATAAGTTTACAGATACGGTATCTCGCTACTAAGACATAATGCTCAATAATGTGTATACCGGCCCGCTACATCCCGCACGCTATTATATAAGTAATGCTGTTTAACGGCACAAAGGGAGGAATCGTAGGAAAGAAAGCAATTATACCACCTAGAATGAACATTGTCAGAAATTAGAAAACCACATGCCCAGTTATACAAATGTATCTATAAACGTGTTTGCTCTTACTTTTTTTTATATTTTCATCACTACATTTATTTGTTTATTTTTAGGGTTCCGTAGTGAACTAGGAACCCTTTAGTTTCGCCATGTCTGTCTGTCCGTCTGTCCGTCCTCGCTTAATCTCTGTGACCGTTAGCACCAGAAAGCTGAAATTTGGTACCAATATGTGTATCAATCACGCGCACAAAGTGATAAAATAAAAATTGGAAAAAATGTTTTATTAGGGTAGCCCCCCTATATGTAAAGTGGGAAGTGATTTTTTTTTAATTTCAACCCTAACGTGTGATATATTGTTGGAAAGGTATTTAAAAATGAATAGGGGTTTACTAAAATCATTTTTTGATAATTTCAATAATTTCGGAAATAATCGCTCCAAAAGTAAAAAACAATGTGTCCCCTCCCCCTCTAACTTTTGAACCATAAGTTTAGAAAATATGAAAAAAATGTGAAAAGTATAACTTTATAAGGAGTTTCTAGGAAAATCATTTTGAACTTGGATGGAAACAACAGTACCCACTACCGGGAGCAGTTGCTGGAGCGCGAACATAATGGATACCCACCTTTAAACTCATAAGTGGGAACACTTATTGTGACGG